TCAATATTTGTAGTGAATTTTCATTTTTACTACTCTGAAAAACTGGGAGTCAGCAAAAAATCACCTGCTTTTCCTCTGCCTTGCCATTTCCAGCCCACTTTCAAATACCCCTCTATATTCTGGCAGCAGAATTCATTCTCTGCTCTTGCTCTGTCTCCTTGATTAACTTGATTCCATCACACTCCTGATGTGCTTGGATCAGCATCCTGAGCTGAAAATCAGGTCTAAGCAGAACTTGCAGATAAGATGCTGATTTTGGAGGTGCAAAAGTGGTCAGAATGATTTAGAACTGACAGTTTTCCAGGATATGGCAGCTCGTGCAGTAAATAGATGGCAAAGATCCCCCTGCAGAGCTGGCCTGGCTCCAGGGCTGCACAGGACAATATCCAGTGTGCCTAAATGTCACTTTAAAGCAAAGCTGCCAAGCACAAGACAAGGTTTGATATTTTTCTTTCAATGAATTCTTCACTGTTGCCTTGGACAGACAGCTGGAGTTTGATCTGGAGAAGGAGCAGTGGCTGTGTGGAGCTCTCAGGGTTTAATTGTGCATTTTGAGAAAGAAAAATCCCTTGACCGGCCAGTCTGAGTGTGCTGCTCAGACGTGGCTGGGGCAGATCATTTCAGTGGAGACATCCTGAAATATGTGGCAGCCCCAGCAGATGCCCAAGGGGCAGCACTGGACAGAGAAATGTTTTTTTTTTTCTGGGCAGCTCTGCCAAGGGATGGATTTGCTCTCCAAACTCTGCTCAGCCTCTCTTTTTAATGTCTTGAAGCCAACACTGAATTGAGAAGTTTCTGAGCACACACCCCAGAGAAATGAAAGGAATCACCTGATGTGGGAAATGAGTTTGTAGAGAATTTTTAAAGCTTGATAGAAGGTTTATATAGTTGGTATTTGTATGTAAATTTTGAGATAAGAAATGTTGGGTTCGAAATGTTATAGAGTAGGATAGACATTGTTGAGAGAAATGGAATCAGGAATAAGTTTTAAAAGATGGTCTTGTAAATAAGACTAGATACTTTGGAGGAATAGAACTATGAAAGATGCATTGTAGTAAGACTAATGAGGAGTAATTTTAGCTGATTGGTTTTTAAATGTTTATAACATGGTGTGGTTAAAATGGATAGGTTAAGAAACACTTATAATGTATTGTAATTAAAAAAATAGTTGGCTTTTGATTGTGATGGTGTGAATTAAAACATCTGTATTGTCTCGCCCTTCACATAAAACCAAAAATGGAATAAAAGTTTTTAAAACACCTCTCAGTTGCCCATCTCCAAGCCAGAAAAGGGCCAAATCCAATCTGGAGATTGTCACACATGCCAGCCCTCAGCCCCTGGCCCTGAGGGGTAATCACTGAGCTGGTGACCAAGAGCTACAGTGCTCCATAAATTCCACCTCTCACCCAGCCAGCCTGGCTCATCCTGAGCTGCAAGTGAACCAAAAATGTGCAAAATATTGCCCAGATCCTATCTGGGAGCTTGTGCTGAGGTTTTTCTGGGTGCTTGGAGGCTGAGGAGCTCCTGGACTGGCTGTGTCCCAGCAGGGGAGGTGGCCTTGCACTCACTGGGCTGCAGGAACAAAGAGGGGGCTCAAGCTGAGCTTAAATCAGGCTCCAACAGCAGGTGAGGAGGGAGGTTTGTGATTCCATGGATTGGGCAGGGGTGGCAGTTTGGTGGGGACCACCTGTCCAGGCAGAGTTTGGGCAGAGGGATGCACAGCTGCTCTCTGTTTTCTTACTTGGACTCTTACAAAAATCCTGTGGTCTGAACAAAATGGAAAAAGGCTTTTTAAAATCAAGTGTAAGCAAACTGATGGCTAGAGCTTCATCTGGAGGTGAGAAATTGTGCTGTTTTGCCTCCTAAAGGCTGAAATGGGACAATTCAGAATTTGGAAAAATAAGAAATAAAAGAATTTCCAGAAGGATTCTCAAATTTCTGGGTGGATTTGCAAATCATTTGGGTAAACAGAGACGTCATCCTTTTCTGGCAAAGACCAAAGCTGAGAACACTGCCTGGCCCCAGCTGTGCTTTGCTGCCTGTTTCAGCCACCAGAGTGGGTACCTGGCCTTTCCAAGCTGTAGGAGCACTGATCCTTGCCCTGGCCCTTTTGGAAAACTCTGGAGTATTTACAACCACACTTTCGATGAGTTTTGAGACATTGCTAATGCTTCCTGGCATAAAAGGGCAAAAATGTTGGCATTTTGGCTTCTATTCAGCTGGTGATTCCAGTCTGTGGGACATCAAACACCTCAGAGATGGGGGGACTTAAGGATTTGGGATCATGGAAGAACTCCTGGCCTAATCCCACAGGGAAAAATGAACAAATAGAGCCAGGTGTGAGCTATGCAAGCCCACATCCACATGTATACACACCTGTATTTCACACCAATTTCAGATTTAATTTATGCAAAGGGCTGCTCTTGGGTCTTTAACTGATGGTGGGTTTGTGCAAGGAGGAATAAGTAGGGCACACTAATTTTGTAGCTCTCATTAAGCACACAATTAATCCATGTCTTGGAGGAGGCAGTTCCTTCTTTGGCTCTCTCTGCTGCTCCTGCTCCCCTGTTAATATTCACAGGCTCTGGGGGCTGAGCTGCTCTTTGGTTTCAGGCAGAGAACAGCTCCCTGGTGTTATCTGAGCGTGGCTGGTGCCCTGTGAAGTTAGTTTGGGATGCAGGGCTGGGACTCTGTGGGAATCCAGAGCTTCCCTCTGGCTGCCCTGGCAGGTCTGGGACCCCGGCAGGGGTCAGGAACCCCCCTGGACAGAGCCCCCAGAGACACTGGCTGTGATCTCTGTCCATGGAAAAGAGTTTTCAATCTTACAGGATGAATTACAAGCTCTGAGTGTTTGATAGAAGTAATAATTAAGTGTGGCACGGGTGCAAAAGTAAAATTTTAGGATTCTAGATTAGGGGTTCAAAGGGGACAAGATGGAGGAAATTGGGTGTGTCTTGTCCTTTTTCTCCTTCTTCATGCCCTCCATGTTTCACTGTGGTGTTGGCATTTTTCTGTTGGTTTAGGCTGGGGACACACTGTTCAACGTAGGTGACAGATATTGGCACGTTATTGTAAATCCAGCACAGGTAGTTTGTGGTATTTAATGTTTGTACCATCCCACTGAGGGCAGAGCCCCACACGCTGCCCTGCAGGACAGAGCTGCGGCAGGGCAGCAGAACATGTTAGAGATAAACAGAATAAACAACCTTGAAACAGCACAGATGAATTATGGCTTCTTCTTTGGCAATGGGGCTGAAAGACAGAGACTTTTTGCAGTCTCGGAATCATCAATATCACAGATTCTGACAGGACTCACCTGCTTGGGAAGAGCTCAGAGCCTTGCTTGTCCCTGCAGGCTTGGATTCTGTGATTCCATAACAAACCTCTTCACCCCATCCATGGGCTCCCACTCCCTCACAGAGGGCTGAAGGTGCTTTTTCTCCCTAATGGTATCTTATTAATGTGTCTCCAAGCCCAGAGGGGCTCGGAGACAAGAAATGGCCAAATCCATGGTATTCCTTCCCTTCAAGAGACACAATCTCAAGCTATGCCAAGAGAAATATAGGTTGGATATTAGGATAAAGTTTTTTACAGAAAGGTGATAAAGTTCTGGAATGGCTGCCCGGGGAGGTGGGGGAGTCACCATCCCTGGGTGTGTTTAAACCAGACTGGATGTGGCACTGGGTGCCAGGGTTGAGTTGAGGGGTTGGGGCTGGGTTGGACTCGATGATCTTGAAGGTTTCTCCCAACCCCATGATTCTGTGATTCTGGGAAGTCTCTGGGGTCAGTGGGAGCTGCTGGCAGACTGCACAGCAAGCAGGCTGCAGGTAAAGCTCCCTGAGCCCAGGAGCACTGCTGATGGGGCTGGGAACACAGCAAGGCCCTTCCAGCTCCTGCAGCAGTTCAGCAGCAGAACTCATGCACCAGAGCCCTCTCTCATGTGTGAATCTTCCCCCATTCATAACAAATTTCAAACCCATGCATAGAAGAGACAATGACTTCTCCACGTGTATTCCCCAGGGAGGCTGTGTGCAGATCTTGCCCTGTGCCCATGAGCAGTGACCATTTCAACACCCTGAAGGGGAATAGATGGTTAAATCCCAAATTCAGGCTCAGTCTAAGCAAACAGAGCTCACTGCCAGAGGGATTTCACACTGCAGTTCTGAGTTTGCTTCTCAGCATTCATTTGGTTCTAATTCTGTACCTTGGCTGTGTTGGCATTGCATCCTCATATCCCTGCTAATGAGGAAGCAGGGCTGCTGCAAGCAGAGGAATCCTGTAGGGATGTTGGCAGCATCCCAGAGAAGGTATTTTAGACTCACTGGGGAAGTTCCAGACATCACAGATTATATATTTATACTAATTATGCCTTATCACTGGGGAAGGCCAGGACAGGCAGCGAATTCTTGGTGTAGGCAGGACTATGTTTTTGTAGCAGAAAGGCAAAATCACTTCCAGTGAAGGCAATCAGTTATCTCCCTAACCAAGAACCAGCACTTTTATAACTGGGAGCATTAAGCACTGCAGAGAACATTGCTTTGCCCAGGAAAATCACATCTCCTCAACCCCCTCCTCTCCCTCTGTCCTTTCCTCCTGGACTTGGTGGTGCTTCAGGCTGGATATTGCAGTTTGCCAGCAGATGCCCTGAGGACAGCCACGTCAGAGGTTCCCAATTCCTCCTCAGAGGAGGGCAGAGGGTGGAAATGCTTGCCCAGGACAGATGATGCTGCTCCTCATGGGTGTTTGGGATCAGTGCTGTAGAGATGCTGAGTGTTCCCTGCCTGTGGCACTGTCGTGGGAAGCCTGTGCTGCTGACAAGGACCACAGTGTAACTCCACTGCACACACTTGTGTGACTGGAGAATCCAGCCCAGTGCATAGACAGGAGTGCAGAATAAGTGTGAGTATCACCCAAACGAGGACAAGCAACCCTGGATATGTGTCATCCACATTGTCCAGTCCTACCCCAAATGCAAAACTGCATGGTGTGTCACAAACATCAGCTGCTTTTTCTTTATTTCATTGTCTTCAGTCCTCATACAACTACAAATTTAGCACTGCTGCTAAAGAAAAAAAGAGCAAACTACAGCATTCATGGGGTAACATAATTTAAAACGTTATGAGACAGCTGATATTATTAAAAATCATGGCCCTGTTACGGGCTTTCATTATTGATGGCTACTTGAGGAGACATACACTATAAAATATAAAGATAAAAAGTGAAAGGCTATTTAGATAGCTGTTCAGCTGAGTGCTGCTAGCATCAAATCAGTGGCACTGGAGAAATGAGAACAGACACACGGCACAGCCTCTGGACTAAATGTGTTCACATTCTGGGTCTGCCAGGGCTTCGCCTGCACAACGTACACTTTAAATCAAAGCAACATTGAAGTCAGTATTGATTGTTCTTGGAGATAGATTTTACCTTCAGGCACTGCTGTTTCCCAAAGGAGCGTGAGCAAGGACGTAAGTCTCTGTGCAGTGCTGGCTGCTCGTGGACAGGGATCTCCCTGAAATCCTCTGGAAACGATTCCTCCTCTGGAAGTACCCACTGCTGCTGCTGAGGGACCGCTGCCTGTTCTTCAGGTACTCCCGGTAGTTTTTGGTCAGCAGGGTGTAGAGGAAGGGGTTGATGCAGCTGTTGCTGTAGGTCAGGCAGGTTGTCAAGTAATTAATGTTCTTCATCACCTTGGGAGACAAAGGGAAGGATTCATAATACTGGAAGAGGAGCTGCCATATCCAGAAAGGCAAGAAGCAAGCCCAGAAGACCAGCACTATGGTGAAGATTAAATAGAGCACCTTCTGGTTGGGCAGCCTCTTGGTCTGCTTGAAGGAAGCAGTCTGGGACACCCAGTAAATCTTAGCCAGGCGGATGTAAAGGTAGCCAATGACCACCCCTGGGCCCACGATGCTGGTGCCAAAAAGGATGGTGAGATAGACTTTGTAGGACAGCTTGCTCCAGGTGGGCAGGCAGATGCTTTTGTTGTCCCTTTGCACCAGCTGGATCATGATGAGCATGGGGAGGGTGAGCAGCAGTGACACCAGCCAGATCAGCACAGCAATGGCCTTGCGGTAGCTCTTGGACCTCTTCACCGTGTCCAGGGGCTTCAGCACGGCGAAGTAGCGCTCCGTGCTCATGACTGTGAGGGTGAAGATGCTGGCGTGCATGGTGAGGAAGTCCAGGCTGAACAGGATGCGACAGCCAACGTCCCCAAAGTACCACTTCTGAATGAAGTAGGTCCCGACGATGAAGGGGATGGTGAGGAGGTAGAGCAGGTCGGCCAGCGCCAGGTTGATGATGTAGATGTACATGGAGGCCGAGGAGCGCAGGTAGTGGCACATCACCAGCAGGGTGTAGACGTTGCCTGTCACCCCGACCACGCACATGAGCGACAGGATGGCCCCGATGGTGCAGATGGCAATCATGTCCTCCGTGGAGCCCGCGGCCCACACGCCATCCCCGGTGGCGTTGGCGGAGGCGTTGGGCCTGATTCTGAACACGCTGTCCTCACTTGTGTCTGTCACCATGTAGGGCGTGGCGGAGAAGTGGCTCTCCAGCTCGTCACTGAGGGACATCCTCCTGGGTTTAAATGCCAGAAGCTTTGCTCATGACACAGGGGTCTGAGGGGATTCTCTCTGCTCCGAGAAACGCGGCTGCTGGAGCTGTAGAACCATTTCTTAGCAGAGTCTCATCCAAGGACCATCTGCATTCTCCACTAGAGGAAAGACATCAAAACCAACATATTAGAAATCTGCCAGAGCAACACAAAAGTTCATTTAGAAGTTACCTGTCCCTGAGCATGTATCTGCACTGCCTGAATGTACCAAAGGTCTTTGGCACTGAGGTCACTCTTGTAGGGTTGGTGCTGTCATTGCAAGAGCCCAGCTGTGAGCTGTGTCCATGGAAAAGAGACAAAAAAGGTTCTGTGGATCACTGGAACTACTTATTGCAGTCCTTAGTTTGGGGTTGGAGGAAAAAAAACATCCTTCCTAAATTTATAACAATGATTTAGCGCCATCAGCGTGATTGTTTAAACCTCTTTGCCACATTCTTAACTCTGAAGGAGTGGAAGACCCATAAAAAGGGAAAACAAACTTCAGATTTATCATTTGCAGCCAAATTGCCTGTTCTGAGGTAGTGATGCATTCAAAGTCCTGTCCAGCATTCCTGCAGCGTTTTCACAGAGCAGCTTCCCTTGAATGAGAAGCTCCTCCTCTGTCCTGCAGTTTCAAACAGCATTCGAGTGATGGAGAAAAAGGCACTTCATAAAGCAAAGTGCAGTTTCCCTGTGGGATTTCTGTGTCTGTAAACACAGGGTTTTTCACCCTCTCTGTCCAGTGTGACACCAGAGATGTCCACGTGTCTGTAAAACAGATCTGTCTCAGCCAGAGCTGGGTGTGAACCTGCCTGAACAGCCTTGAGCAGCGAGGTGTGAGGCAACATGTGAGGAAAATCTGTAGGTGGGAGCCTCTGCTTAGCTCAGACTCAGTGCTGCACAAATCAGGACTCTGTTGCTCTCAATTCGTTCTGGGTGTAGGCAAAAGGAGAGCAAACCTTCCTCAGAGAAAGCTGAAGAATTAGCTAAAATGCCCAGATTTTAAGGCATACCAAAATCTTGTGCCATCCTAAAGGTCACTGCATACAGAAGTGCATTTGCACTGTGTTTTACAGCACTCAGGCTGTCTCTTTTTCTTCGGAAAACGCTGAGGAGGAGGGGTGCTGGACTGCCTTGTCCTTATAGGGCTCAGCAGGCAAAAATTCCCCTCTGCCTTGTTCCACTGGGCAGGCTGGATTTGTTTAATCCTGGGAATTTGCAGCATTTCCCAGTGAGTTAGGTGTCCCTTTCCCTCCTCACCAGCTCTGACTCCTTTTCCTCTTTCCTCCCACTCTGCCACTGGCAGGAGCATTACAGTCCCCTGCTGCCCTTGTGTCACCCTGTCAGTGACCTCTGTGGCCCTTGAGGATGGACAATTTTCATCCTCTTCATGATCTGCCCTCACCTTCTCCCTGTTACCTGCTGAGGATGGCGGGTGCTGCAGAGATGTCACAAAAACCTCTGGATAAGAGAGGACAACCAAATGAAGAGGGAGATTTCCCCTCACTTAGCAATTGGGATAAAAGTACAAAAAAACAGAGAAACACACAGAGCCCATGTCCCACCCCAGTCCCTCGAGTGCAGGTGAGAGATGAGCGTGGTTTTGCAGTGCTTGGTGCTCCTTCAGGACAGTGCTGCTCTGGGCTGGTCTCCACAGCTTCACCAGCATCAAGATCCATTTCTTGGACCTTGCAACTCCAAATCTTCCCTGTCCTGCTCCTGCTGTGCCCTTCTGCTGTAGGGCAGGTGTGGCAGTCTGTCCCACTCCCTCATTGTCCCTTTTATCGATGCTGGTGTCCGAGCTGGCAGTGAAAATGACTTCCAAGCTGCTCCAGGATCTGTGGCTGCTCCTCTGCCTCACAACCAGCAGAAGGGCACAGAAATGAACAGCTCTGCATGGGATGCTCCAGCTGAGCCCGGAGCTGGTCCCACACGCAGCTCTCGGCTCGGTGTGCTGGTGATAGCTCATTTTCAGCGTATTTCCGTGCCTCAGGTGCTGCCTCCTTGCAGCTGCCTCATTTGGCGTCCCAGGGACTTGTAGCAGATTTGTGCCATGCTGGTGCCTGTCTGTGCAGTTCCCTGGAGTGACAGCTCCTGCTGGAGAGAGCCGAGCCCACTGCATCTCCCTGCTCTGCTCCTCTTCTGCTGAACCTGCCTTCTGCTCCATTCATAAAATTCCTACAGCACTAATTCCATTCAGACACTTTGCCCATCTCCAGACAGAGCTAGAAGAGGAAAATTAAGCCAAATCGGGAGCCCTAACATCACTTTAAAGTTCCCATCAATGCTGCTCTCGTACACAAACACACACTCACATGCACACACAACAGAGAGCTTGTTATTGCTAGCAGCCATTCAAGCATCTTACGGTCCAGGCGATTTTCCCAGCCAATCTTGCCTTTCCCTCTACGATACCATCCCACAGGAGTACCACGCATATTTACAGCTGTAAACAGAAATGAATTTCTCCTGCTCAAACCTTGCTTTTAAATCCGGCAGATGATGTTTCCTACGAGAAAGAAAATAATAATAATAATAAAAATATATCTAGTAGTATCAAAGCTGGAACTTAAAGAAAGAAAAACTGAAAAAGAGGAAAAAATAGAAAGAAGAGAATCCTTCTTCATGGGCAGAGAGCGAGAGATCCCAGGGCTGTGTCGCATCTGGAGCGGCAGGGCAGGAAGGGAGCGTGCTGCCAGCCAAGTATGTTTGAAATCTGGGCGCTCTTAATACTCTCATTCCCCTCCCTCCACTCGTGCCGGCTATTTTTGCTCCCCGGTGACGTTAGGCATAGCATGGCTGTGCTGCAGGCAGCGAAGAGCCTGTTTAAAGCAGCAGGGTTTGATAAGCCTGGTTAGCATGGCTCGCTCAGCTGCATCCTCCTGCCCCGCTCTGGGCACCAGAGAGGATCGAGTTGTTCCATCCCAGGGGCGCTGGAAGGCAAAGAACCCTCCGGACAGCACACGGAGAGGGTGAATTCCCAAATTCCCGAATTCCCGAATTCCTGAGGCTGCCCGAGCAAAGCCAGCACGGCTGGGGAAGGAGAGTGGGCCAGGGAGGGTTAAAATCCTGCGGGAGGGTCACATTCCTGCGGGAGGGAAGCAGCAGAGCTCCTTGATTTGGAGATCCATTCCAAAGCCAAGCTGAAGTTTATTTGGGTTGGATGGCGTACCAACAGATGAATCTGTGCAGCGGGGTCACACACCGCAGCATCCGACACATTTCAGGCTGGCAGGAACAAAATATTGCCGAAGTTGTTTGGGGGCTGGGTGGTTCTCTTTCCCCAGTGATACTTGTGAGAAATGCTACTCACTTTCAAAAACTTTAAAAAGGTTTATTAAAGCTTGTCAAAAATTACAACAGAAGACTGAATAGAGAAAATAAATACGGTGCTGGGAGCAAAGGATTTTCCCCACCATGTGCTCATCCACACAATGGAGGTTTCGCCTTTTAACCCTTTGTCCTCTCCCAAAGTTCTGTCCATCGACTCCTTTGCTGTCCAGTGCTGGAGATCACTTCCTTACATCTTTTTCAGAGGTCATGTGTTGCCATAGTGACAAGCCGACCCTCCCAAATATCCCAAATACCCAGGTCGCCCCATAATAACAACACAAGGGGGGTAAAACACAACTATAAATCTATAAAACTTCTCTTAACATATATACATGATATTTGCCCTTTAATTTGGAGAGTCGACGATTTTATTTCTCATCCTGTACTCAAACACAGAGATCAGCCCAGCAGTGGTTGGACGGGACTGGTGCTGGGAGATGCTGAAAAACTCTGGATTGTTTTGTGAGCAGCTGGATGTTGTGCTGGTTGCTTGCACACAATAAGATTGCTCTTGCTCCCAGTTTCCTGCTTTGTCTCTGAGGGCTGCAGGGAATTGCTCCTGATCTGTGCCAGGGGGAGGTGAGGAGCACTCACCTCTCCCAGGTGTCTCCTGCAGGACACAGGGTGTGGGAGATGCTGGCAGGCCCATTGCCTGCTTCTCTGGGTACCCACAGTGGGCAGGTGATGCTTCCCAGCCCTGGGCTCCTGGGAGAGACCACTGGCCCTGGCACATCCATCCTGAGTGCTGCTCCCTCCTCTGCCTCTTTCCATGGATACTCAGATCATTTCTTCTGTGTTCTCAACTGTCTCCACAGGCCCCCAACTGGGTAATAATTAGCATTGACTCAGTGGTTGAAGAAGGCTGATCTATTGCTTTATTATTATCTCATCCTATACTATATTATACTATATTTATATTACACTATATTACACTATCAAGAATTATCACTCACTAGAAGACCTGTGACTCTCTGCCAAGAGTCCCAACATGCACGGATCCAGTTGATCAATGAATCCAAAACACCATCACCAGAATCCAATCAAGCAATCACCATGGGTAAAAAACCTCACAGCACATTCCATGTGGGCACAAACACCGAGCAGCAGCAAGTGAGACAAGAATTGTTTTGATCATTCTTTTCTCTGCTTCTCTCAGGAAAATGCCTGGGAAAATCTGTGCCTGCTCTCTGTGCCCAGAGAGCTGCTGCCATAATCAGCTTTCTGCAGCCTGGGAGTCTGGAGGTACATCTTGTGTCTAAGGGCAGTGGGAGCCCAGTTTGGCTCCAAACTGGGACAGCTTGGTGGAAGAACATGGACAGCTTGGTGAGCCCTGGCTGTGCCTGTCCCCACAGTTGGGCAGCTGGGCTCTGCTCAGAGACAGCCTTTTGAGATCTTGGCTTAAGAACAAATCCATGTGAAAGCTGGATTTGACAGTGAAAATAGATCTTACGTTAGCAGCTCTAGCAAGAGCTGGCTGAGAAACCCCAGCCTGAACACTCAAATGTACATGCTTTGCTCTGACTTTGCTTCTTGTGTTTGGCCCCTGGAAATCTTTGGAGAAGTGTGGGATGGGAGCTGCTGCTCAGGCTGTCTTCTGAGGAAGATCCAACTTCCTGGATCAGGAATGGTGTGGCCAGGAGGAGCAGGGAGGTCATTTTTCCTAGGAGAGATTTGAGCAGGGCTAAAGCTCTTTGGGCAGTGCTTATAGCTGGGTGCTGCTAATTCACATACACTGGTGGCTTTCTGGCAGCCTTTGCATCTCACACTGTGGCCAACATGGCACAGCTGCCTCTTTAAACTTTAAATCAAGCCATCTCCACGATTTTGTGGAGACAGTTGCCCTCTCAGTCTTTACAGCCCCATTTACACTTTTGTTTGCAAGGTCTGAGATGTGCTATTTGATTTTCTTCATCCTTTGCCCTCCTCACCTTCTCTTTGGTTCCTGGAATAGCTGCAGTGAGTGTAATCATCAGGGGGAAAGCAGCAAGCTCTGGGAGGCAGAAGAGGTCACTGCTTCCCTCCATATGCTGAGAAAAGCTTCTCTCACAAGTGTCTGTTGGAGAAGCTCTTCAGGGACAGGATTTGGCTTGGGTAATATGTCACATTTTCCTCACTTCCAGTTAAAATCTGATTATGTCTTTGTCAAGAGTTTTGAGAGCTGGGGTAATGGTCACAGACAAATGCTAATGAATTCGCTTTATTGCAAAGTATTTGAGATCAACAACAAAAATCACAGCAGAATTCTCCTGGAAATCCATCAAATCATCACCAAGAGAGCCATGGGGAGTACAGACACACCTTCCATGGGCCAGAAGCTGTTGCTAGACTAGAGACAAAAGCCTCTTTTCCATTATTTTCTACCCCAAATATCCTGTGCAGCACCTCTGTGCTCTGCTCTGCCTGGTGCTGACCACACAATTCCTTTGCAGTTTGGTTCCATGTCCTCAGCCTCTCCTCCTCTGTTCAGCTGAACAGCTGCCCTGTTCCCTCTGTGACACCATTCTGTATTCCTCAGCCCTCATAGCAGGGAATTAGAAGATTTAGGAAAGTGCTCTGGGGCCAGAATCCTGCTAGGAAAAAGTCAGGCTCCACAATTTCCAGCTGCAGCTCCTGCTGCTGATCCCAGGGGTTTTCTCTGCATGGAGGGCAGCACACACAAAGATTTCTGCTGGAGCTCTCAACACCCTCTCACAGGAGACAAGAGATGAAGTGTGAAAAGTTGTCTGGCAGTGCATAAAGAGCAGCAAATGTCACCAGCTGAGCTCCTGCCACTGTGGACTCGGGGGTGGCATTTGCCATCCTGCACACAGTGGGGTGGGGCTGGGGATGGTGGCAGATGGTGCTGCTGTGGATCACCTCTCTGGAGCAGCAGATGCTGATTCAAATGCTCCTTTTAAAAGCTGCTTTTCTACAAGAAGTCACATTCCCACATAATTTCTGCCCTTGCTTACTCTGATGGATAACTTCCATTCCCAGTGGTGGTGGCTCAGTGCAGACTTCCAGTGCTTCACTTCCCAGAGGAGTCAGTGAAGGAGACAATAAAGTCCTTTTTTCCCCCTTGTGGCAGCATCAAACTGAGCAAAGTCTTCCTGATGCTGTCAGCCCCTCTCGGCTCTGCAGGTGGGAACAGCTCTGTGCAGGGCCTTGAAAAAGAAAAGCTTGCAGCTAAAAGCACTGTCAAAAATGACAGGTGCTAGTTAAAAGACTCAAAAGTATGTGCCAGTTTTTAAATAAAGCATTTTGCCCTCCATGGGTTGCTTTCTGGGATGAAGAACAGGGAGCAGATACCTGCTCTGTGCCAGTCCCTCTCTGCAGGGACATCTGTGTCACCAGCACAAGGTCTGGGCGGCAGCAGAGGACCCTGCAGGGCACAGGAGGGGTGGCTGTGCAGTGTTTGTTCCTCTGTTGGAACTTTTGATGTAGGAAAAGGCTGGAGGGTGCTGGCTGAAGTGAGCAGTGGATGTGGCACTCCACCTGTGCCACACTCCCTTGTGGCTCCTTCTTTCCTTTCCCTTCTCTCAGGGTGCAGCACCCCCCTACCCACTGTCCCTTCCCACCATTGTCTGCTCCTGCATTTTCAAAACCCTCCTTCAGAGGGAAGTGCCTGCTGGCATTTTGTGTCAGAGGGAAATTCCTCTGGAAATGGCTCTAATGTAGAATAAATGGCTTAATTCCCTGGTCAAAAGCAGTGGGAGGACTGAGCAGGTGCCTGGTTCCACAGTTGGAAAGCATGCTTGATTGTCTCAAAATGCTTTTCTTTGCCTTGGGTTGGTCCAAAGTACCACTTCACCTGATGAAGGCTGTTTTGTTCCCAGGTGCTGCCCCACTCAATGGGAAGGGGCTGCCCAGAGCAGATGGGGGGTGAGGGCTTGGGGCTGCTGAGGGCTCCCCCCAGCCCCGGTGTGAGAAGGGGGTGCAGACAAGCCCATGGAACTGTATCAGTGCTATGGTGCCCAACCACCAGGGAGAATGATGTGATTCTCCAGGCTGGGGCACTGAAGGTGAGAACAGCCAGGCTCAGGGGCTGGGCTGGCAGGGAGCCTCGAAGCTCTTCCCACTTTGCAAGTTTGCTGTGTTCAACCCAAACGAGAGAGGCTGGGCACCTGCTGCAGGGGAGGATGGCTCTGGAGAGCCTTTAAACACCTCCAGTGTTAAGTGCAAGCAAAACATTCCAGGATTTTGGTGGCTTGAAGCTCCTTTTGCCAGCCTGCATTAGCAGTGCGTGACTCAATTTGCTAATGACTGCAATTAGATATCCCACAACTTTGCAAAGAGGCTCTGGGTGACCTGTGCTGGCCTTGGCTGAGTTCCTGTCCCCTTGGGATATTATCCAAATGATGGTCCAGGACTCTGTGCCAGTGCAACATCTGGCTGTGCCTCCTCCTCTCAGCACAGCGAACAGAAATCCCCCAGCTGTGCATAGAAAGCAGTGGGAGCTGGCAGAACTTCACTGGGCCAGAAGGGAATGGCAAATTTTTGCCTTTGCTACCTGTGCCACCTCTGCCCAGCAGTTTGAAGCATTTTCCCTTCAAACCTTCTTTGCCAGAGCTGCTCCTGGCATGGCTG